TTTTAACTGTGTTTTAGGTGAAAGTTTGCATAGCACATTATCGTTAGGGGCTATCAAGTTGGCTCTGACTCATAGTGACTCTGTGTACAACAAAATGGAACACTGCCAGGACTTTGCCATCCTTACAGTCATTGGCATGCTTGAGCCCACCGTTTTTTTTTGTTTTGTTTTTTAATGTGCCGTCGAGTTGGACCCAACTCATAGCGACCCCTTCTTGGGTTTCCAAGGCAGTATCACTATGGAAGTAGATTGCCCAACTTTCCTTCTGAGGAGTGGCTGGTAGATTTGAACCGCCAACCTTCTGGTTAGCAGTCAAGTGCCTTAGGCACTACGCCACCAGAGCTCCCTGAGCCCACCATAGCAGCTGTCAACGCATCTTGTTGAAGGTCTTTTCCTTTTTCACTGACTCTGCTTTACTAAGCATTAGGTTCCCATTGAACAGTTTCTATACAAATTGTTCCATGACCTTGGTTACAATTTTCACAGTGTGTCGGCATTCTCATTATTTTTGTTTTGTTTGCTCTGTTTCCCTTGATCTAACTTCTCTGCCACTCCTTGTCTTCTCATCTCTGCTTTTAGTTAAATGTTGGCTGTTTGGTCTCACATAGTTGATTGCTTAAGGGAGCACATTCCTCACAGGTGATATTGTTTATTTTAGAAGCCAATCTGTTATTTGGTTGAAAGGAGACCTCCAGAAGTGGCTTCAGTTCCAAGTTAAAGATTGTTTTAGGGCGATAGTCACAGGGGTTCATCTAGTTTCTGTTAGTCCAGTAAGTCTGGTCTTTTTTTAGGAATTTGAGTTTTGTTCTACATATTCTTCCCATTCTTTTCAGAACCTTCTGTTGTGTCTCTGGTCAGAACAGTTGATAGTGGTAGCCGAGCACCATCTAGTTCTGGTCTCAGGCTAAAAGAGGCTGTGTGGTTTGCAAGGGCTATAGTTTCTTCTTTGAGTCTTTGTCTTTGGTTTCCTTCATTCTTGTTTGCTCCAGACAGAGAGAGACCAATATTTGCATCTTGGACTCAGGGCACATAACAACAACAGGGTGCTCACATGGTTGCCTGGAGGTGGGGAAGAGAAATACCTAAGGCAGTGGAAAGAAATTAACTTTCTCTTTGCACATCTTTATGTTGTTTTGCAAATGAAGCCTACCTATTGCTACTTCAGTAACTTCTTTGATATTTTGATGTTAATATGGGTACTGCTACCATAACCACAAACATTGAATGGAGAAAAGCACAAACCTAGAAAAATGCTATAATTTAGTTTCATAATTTTTGAAAAAGAATTTAACAACAGAAATTTCAAGAGGGGGAGAGTCGTAAACCAGCTGTTCATGTGTGTCCACAGCATCTACTGCCGGGGCTGCTCCAAGCCCTTGTGCTGCACATGCGCGCTCCTGGACAAAGGCCACAGCGAGGACAAATGTGACATCAGTACTGAGATCGAGCAGCGGCAGGAGGAGTTGGACACCATGACACAGGCACTGCAGGAACAGGACAGTGCCTTCGGTGCTGCACAAGCACAGATGCACTCGGCCATCAGCCAGCTGGGCAGATCGTGTGCTGATACCAAGAAGCTGATCCAAGAGCATGTGAACAATGTGGTAAAGCATGTGAGGGCGCTTGAGTGTGAGCTGATTCAGAGCGTGGAGGCCCAGTACAAGCGTGACAACCAAGAGATGGCCCAGCACCTAGACCGCCTGGATGCTGTTTTGCAGCGTATCCGTACAGGTGGCATACTCGTGCAGAAGATGAAGCGCTATGCCTCTGACCAGGAGGTGCTGGACATGCATGGCTTTCTGCGTGAGGCACTCTGCCGCCTGCGTCAAGAGGATCCCCAGAGCCTGCAAGTCCCCATGCACACTGATGGCTTTGAGAAGTTCAAGGAAGAGTTCAAGGAGCGCCTGAAGGACCTTGTATCTTGTGTCATTCAGGGGACAGGTAAGCACCCGGAGCTACTCCCAAGGGCAGCCTATTTGCCATTTTAAAAGCTTTGCTTCTCACAGTTGCCCCTTGAGGAAAACAGGAAAGAAAAGATTGTCTCCACTTCAGAAAAAGAAACTGGGTTTTTATGAAGTCACTTGGTTTAGTCAGGGAGTAGGTTCCAAGGCACAGGAGAAAGGAGAAAGGAACCCTGGCATGGGGTTGCAAACACCCAGAGGTGGGTAATTTATATAAAGTACCCTTGGATTAGCTGTGACCTTTGGGGAATGTGGGGAGTTGAGGAACTGCAAAGCTTAGAACCAGATTCTGGTATTATTTTGGCCTCAAAGGGACTAACCATTCCAGAAGGTTCTCTTAGTGCTCTGTGTCCAGGAACAGAGAAGTCAATTGGGGCATGAGATGTAGGGCAGAAGAAGGCTGAGAAAACTCCCTGAAGTGGTTAGGTGCTTGCCCCAAACCACCCAGTGCTCTGTGGAAGAGATCCGTTGTTCCCAGGATAGCCTGCCATCTGGACCAGCTGCCAAGCTTTATAGGTCCTGCTGGTATTGGGCACTGGGATGAAGAGACAGCAGACCAGTTCCTGACCTCAAGAGGTATAGAGTCTTAATTGGGAGACAAGCTGTGGGTACATCACATAGCTGGAGAATGCTTGGCTCTACAGTCTTAATCCAGGAGTCACAGAAGCTCTTTATGGGCTGGTGACATCAGAGGGGCTCTCCAAAGAAGCAGGGGTGGGGCACAAGAAGGCCTCCTGGGTGAAGAGGCTTTAATGACTGTTTGACTAAATCTCTAAGCTGGAATCTGACCTCAGGACAGCTGGTGTTGAGGATGCCCTTACTGAGAAAGGAGAAGGAAGCTACAGGATCTGAAAGCCCCCATGCAGGTGCCAGTGTAGAGAGCTCACTCACTCCTTTTCTTGGAGCTGAGGGACGTGGGCTGCAAAGCCTGGGTGTGACACTTGTACCTTCTCTGCCCAGACAGAGAATGTTACCCCCATATACAGAAAATGACCCCACAGAGTTTAAACAACTGGCCTTGGGAGCTATACCCCAGCTGTGGCAGAGAGAAGAGTCATTGCCTTCTGCAGCATGAGAGATTGAGGTTAGACTTAATAAAAACCAGGCTGCGGGTCAGAAGAGTGTCATGGAGCTCTCACTGAAAGTTGAGAAGTCAGTGAGCAGATTAATGGCATTAGGATTGTCTGCATGTGGCCTTGCTGGTGGCCCAGCAGGTACACTTGAGTTTGGCGCTAAAGGAAGGCTCTCTTTGATGTTATCCACTCTCCCTTCGTGCTGGGTCCTATCACTGTCGTAGGCTGGGATGCCCTTTATCAGGGCTGTCCTGACCTGCCTGAGATGTTCTCTGTGTTTGTTCTCCAGATGTAGCTCAACCCAGGAAAGCCAGCCCAGAGATTGCCATGGATCCTTTTGACGTTGACCTGGTGAGATGGGGTTGAAATGTGAAGGGGAGGTGGTAGGGCCCAGCAGGTTAAGGCGTGGGAGTACCCATGTCAGGAAGGAAACCCACTGTGCATTCAGGGAACAGAGAAGGGAGAGTGCCTGAGAGAGGGAGAGCGAGTGGCTGGACTGGAGCTTTCCAGTGGGTAGAGAGTAAAGAAGACATCCAGAAAGGGTTGGCTGGCTCTGGGCTTCTGAATGCCAAAGTAGCTCTTAATGGGATGTGTGTGACCCACATTCAGGAGGGGTGGCCTATGTCCAGGGGTGGATAGGAGGACATGAAGGAGGTGGTCACTGGCAGGTGGCCCTCATGGACATAGCAGATGACCTGTCCTCTCACTGTGCCCCACTCTAGATATGTGTGTCTTTTCCTGGGGTCAATGTATATGGACCTTCCCTCTGCTCTAGACACATAGTTCTTAGGAATGGAGAGTGGGACCAGGAGTCAGACTCCATCCTAGCAGCCTGCCTTCTGACATTGGGATTCCAGGACCAGCATATGTCTAGAAGCCATAGTTGGTCAAAATTGCAAGGCGCCCCAATGCCATCTAATGTTGGTGTCCCCTTGCAGTATCCCTGACTGGTGACTGCACCTGCATGCATACACCTCCAAGGACAGGAAGCTCACTTGCTTGAGGCAGCCATTCCCATCTCTGGAATGCTCTGATTTAGAAAGTGTTGCTCTAGGTGGAAATGAATTGGCATCCTTTTGACTTGTCCTTTTTGGTGGTCACCAGATCAGGTCCTTTCCACCAAGATGAGCTTCCTCAGTTCCTTCCCACACTTGGCGTCTGGTCTCCTCCCCATTCTGGTCATCTAAGTTGATGTGCGCCTCCCTTTCCAGGTTCTAGGCCCAGGACTGACTGGTCCTCCATGGAAAGTAGGTCTTCAGGTGGGGGTGGGGGGAGGTGGTAAGCCTTCCTAGCTTTGCCATGGCATTACCCATGGATGAGAGAGTGCTGTACACCAAGGCCATTGGGGAGGCTTTCTGGAGGAGGCAAGACAACATCTGAGACATTAGAGCTAAGAAAAAGCATGAAATCTAACCCACTCTTTACAGAGACTGGAACTAAGGTTCAGAGAGGGGGTGTGACTTACCTAGACCACACAGCAAGCTAGGGGCTGGACTAGAAGCCAGCTCCTATATACTACGACTTAAAAAAGTAAAAAAGGACGTTTTATCTTAATTTTCTTAGATAGGTAATATACTCATATGACCGAAAATTGAAACATATAAAATCAAGAGTAGTATAATGTCTCACTTCCACCCCTTTCACCATCTGTCATTTCCTGCCCCATATTCTTATCTAATTACAAGCAAATATGATTATAGACACTTAGTTCTACTCCTTTTTTTTATTTATATATCCACTCCTTTTTAATTTATTTGTTTTTTATTTAAAGGCAGCATATGTACCTTATATACATAGTATTATGTCCCAGGCTTTTTAACCCAGTTCCAGATATGTTCTGGAAGCTTCTGGAGTCTCTTTTGTAGCTGCATAGTGGTCTGTTGAATGGATGTACCATGGTTTATTTAGTTATTTCTCTACTGGTACATTTCTAGGTTGTTTTGCAATTACCAAACAGTACTACAATGAATAATCTCCACCAAATAAGTAATATGAAATATCAGTGGAAAAGTGCCCCATGTCCACAAATCCTGGCTGCCTTCCAGGTACAAAAAAAAAAAACAAAAAAAAAACCAGAAACTCACTGCCATCGAGTCATTTCTGACTCACAGCAACCCCCATTGGGTTTCCGAGGCTGTAAATCTTTATGGAAGTAGATTGCCCCATCTTCCTGGTGGGTAACACTGACCTTCCGGTTAGCAGTCAAGTGCCTTATCCACTACGCCACCAGAGCTCCAGATACTAGTCACTGGTAAATAAATAGCAAGAGAGCCCATACTGTCTAATGAGTAAGTATAGACATTTTGACTAGGTGGTGCCAATGGCTAAGGCATTCATCTGGTAACTGAAAGGTTGGTGGTTTGAGTCTACCCAGAGGCATGTTGGAAGAAAGGCCTGGCAATCTACTGCTGAAATGTCAGCCATTGGAGCACAATTCTCTGACACACATGGGGTTGCCATGAGTTGGAAACAACTCAGTGTCAACTGGTAAATTATCTTGTCAAGGCAGAGCACATGTGTCCTCTGTCAACTACTAAGCTATTTGAACCTGGACCATCTGAAAAATATTCCCTTTGCAAAAGCCTCTTGCTTTCACTTTGGTAACAGGCTGTGGAGGGTAGGGGGAGCAAGTGGGTAACCTCAGTGTGAATGCAAAAGACAAGAGATATGGGCACAGTGGGTCCCATTGGCCATTGCTAGCCATCCCTGGGGAAAGTCATTCTTATCGGGTGTAGCAGAAGATCCACTCTGTACTCCTTTCTTCTTTCTTTCTTTTCTTTTTTTTTTTTTTGCGATTTGGGTTAAAGTTTACAGAGCAAATTCATTTTCCATGCAGCAGTTCATATGCATTTTGTTTCATGACGTTGACTACAATTCCCCACAGTGTAAGAGCTCTCTTTCTGCATCCTCTCTGTAGTTACCTCTTCACTGTGCTTCTTTCCTATGCATTCCTGCACCCTGCACTATCTCCCTGTGCAAATACTGCCCTTGGACTCCTTCCCTTTTGCAACTGCTTGTTCACTTTTTTCGTTGCAACTGTTTGCATAAGAAGAGATAATCAGAATTGAGAATACACATCAACAGCCAAGTAGGCGTGGTTGGGTGGAGCTTTTTTTTGTGTTGTCCCTCCTCTATTCATCATGGCTTTTTAGGTAATGATGTTACAATACTTTCATGAAAAATAATAATTTTTTAAAAAGCTGTAAAACAACTGTAAATCAATAATGATTTTTTTTTTCTTTGATTGAGCCCTCATGTGTTTCCAAGAAGCTCTTGTGGCCCAGTCCCTAAGGCATTTGACTGCTAACCAGAGGTTGGCAGTTCAAACCTACCAGCCACTCAGCAGAAGATGGGGCAATCTACTTCTGTAAAGATTTACTGCTTTGGAAACCCAATGGGGGTCGCTATAAGTTGGAATTGACTTGATGGCAGTGCATTTGGTTTGGTTTTCATGGTTTCTAGTGCTTCTTAACACTTGGGGGGAGAACTGGAGGAAGGAGGGCAGAGGATGTGGAACCCAATGGCCCAAGTAGAAGGGGTCTTTTATGCAGAGTCAGATATGGGAGGATAGAGCAGAGCCTTTTTTTTTTTTAAAAACCACTATCCATTATAAAAATTATATTTTTACCTTAACTTCTAGTACACACACATACACACACCCCGCTAGCTAAAAGAGAAATTTCACAAAACAAATTACTTTTTTTTTTTAACTTTATTGTGATTTCAGTGGAATTTTTCAAAACGGATTCATTTTACATTCAACAGTTCATATGCATTGTTTTGTGACATTGATCATGTTTCCTGCATTGTAACAGCTCTCCTCTTGCTTCTTCCTTTGGTTATCCTTTCCCTGTGTCCTTCTTGTCTATGCATTCTTGCCCCCCTACCTTTCTCCCTGTACAGATGTTACCCTTTGACCCCCATGGTTGCTTAATCTAATGAATGCATTGCCCTGGCTCCTAGGCCTGTCTGGTTGAAAGTTAGCCACTGGAGTGAGTTCAATTCCAGGCTGAACGATGACTCGAGTCATAGTCTCGGGGGTTCTACCAGTCTCTGTCAGACCAGTAAATCTATTCTTTTTTCATACTTTTTTTTAAATTTTGTCTCCTACTTCGGTAGTGTAGTGCCTAAGGCATTTGACTGCTATCCAGAAGGCCGGCAGTTCAAATCCACCAGCCATTCCTCAGAAGGAAGATTGGGCAATCTACTTCTGTAGTGATACTGCCTCAGAGACCTAAGGAGGGGTGGTTATGAGTCGGGTCTGACTCAACAGCACATAACAACAACAACAACTCTTATCCAGGATCTCTAATTTTGATCCCAGGCACCATCTAGTTCTTGTGGTCTCAGGGTCATAAAATCTGAGGTTCTCATGATCCATTGGTCCTTTGGACTAACTGTTTCCATGTGTCTTTGATTTTCTTCACCCTTCTTTGCTCCAGATGAGGAAAGACCAATAGTTACATCTTAGATGGCTGCTCGCCCCAAAACAAAGTACTCTTACTACATGGGATGTACTCCAGCATATTCTGTCCTATATTATTCTGTTTAATATCTAAAAATGCTAATTGTGACCCACTAAATTGGGGTCACAAACTATAGTTTAAAAAACACTGAGGTATCGAGCTCAGTGGAGATTGTAGAGACTGAATACTTCCCTGGTGGCCTGGGAGAGACCCGGAAAAACGCCTGTTCTCTCATTCCCCCAAGCAGGATGGAACACCCTAACCCCACGGAGATAGCTGTCTTTCCTTTTTTTAAAATTGCATTTATTTTGTTGTTGAGAATATACACAGCAAAACATACACCAATTCAGCAATTTCTACACGTACAACTCAGTACATTGATTACATTCTTCAGGTTGTGCGACCATTCTCACTCTCCTTTTCTGAGTCATTCCTCCATTAACATAAACTCACTGAGCCCACAAGATTCCCATCTAATCTTTTGAGTTACTGTTGCCAATTTGATCCCATGTAGTTCTTAAAAGAGCATAATACTCAAAATGGACATGTCCTTCCTTTTTGTAAAGAAACTCAAGAAAGAAGGAAAGTGTCTCTTATATCTAGTGCTGCTGCAATAGAAGGATCTCTGGTAGTGTAGTGCCTAAGGCACTTGACTGCTAACCAGAAGGCTGGCGGTTCAAGCCCACCAGTCACTCCTCACAAGAAAGGTTGGGCAGTCTACTTCCGTAATGATACCACCTTGGAAACCCAAGGAGGGGTCGCTAGTAGTAAGGTCTGACTCGACGGCACATAACAACAGCTGTGATAGAAATACTACAAGTGGGTGGCTTTAACAAACAGAAATTTATTCTTTCACATTTTAAGAGGCTAGAAGTCCATATTCAGGGGACTGGCTGTAGAGTAAGGCTTTCTGTCTCTGTCAGCTCTTTGAAGAGGGTTCTTGTCTCCTTTCAACATCTGTAGGTCTGGCGTTCCTTGGAGATCTCTTGGCATCAGTCTTCCCTAGGTCTAGAAGGTTCTCAGCACAGGAACCCTGGGTCCAAAGGACTCGCTCCATTCCTGGCTCTTTCTTGGTGATGGTCAGGTCCCTCAGATCTCTAATCCTGTAGATTATATCCTGCCTCATTAACATAACTGCTTCTAATCCTACCTCATTAACATCATAAGGTTTGGATTTATAACACAGGATAATTACATCAGATTGCAAACTGGAGGATTATTACATAATACTGAGAATCATGGCCCAGCCAAGTTGACATATATTTTTGAGGGACATGGTTCAATCCATAACACAGGAGGCAGGAAGGAAGAGAGGGAGGGGCTGCACGGTGGGATGGAAGTGGAAAGCCCACATCAAAGCCTTGATACTAAGAAGAGCCCACCTGCCACCTTTGGGTTCCCACCATATCAGATGCTGTGCTAGGGTCTTCTCCACCTGGAATCCTCCTCAGCCTGCACTTGACCAGGTAACTTAAGGAGGCCCTGGTGTTCCTCACTAGGACAGCGGGCCTGACCTTATCATCTACCACAGGAACAGACAGAAGTCCCATGACGAACATGCCCCTGGCTCTCGTCATCTTACATTGGAGCAGCTGTGGGATGGAGAGCACTCTCCTGCCACATGGGAGTCCCTTCCCTTGACTGCTGTCTCCTGGTGGATGATCATCCATTGGGCATACATGGGGTTTGGGTGCCGAGACCTGCAGAGCCGAGGCTTCAGGACTAAAGGCAGGAGTGGCAGGAGCAAGTCCCCAGCATTTGGGTATCCCTTTCAGCAGGGCATGTTGCATGCTACTTACTCATTTTCACTAAGCAGCCCAGTGTACGCTTCTCCATGTAATTGAGAAAGATGGTGGGGAGGAAATAAAGACACTGACTAGAGAGAAGGGAGAGCACACGGGCAGGGAGGGAACCTCCATTTAGGAAATATTAGGCTCACACCCTGCTTCAGACCCTTCCTAGGCATGTGACCCGGGGAAGTTCCTGCCTATGTGCCTCAGTTTCCTTCTCTGTCATTTTGTAATAATCCTAATATGGTACCTACTTTTTTTAACTCTTGATTTTTTTAATGTGGTAAAATTCACATAAAATTTACCGTTTTAAAGTATTTGTTTTGAGTATTTAGTACATTCACAATGTTTGCAACCACTACCTCTATCTAGATCCAGAACATTTTCATCATCCCAAAGGAAACTTTGTACTCATCAGCTGGTGCTGTTGTTGTTAGGTGCTGTTGAGTTGATTCCCACGCTTGGCAACTCTGTGTGCAACAGAATGAAACACTGCCCAGTCCGGCACCATCCTCACAGTCCTTACTGTGCTTCAACCCATTATTGTAGCCACATGGATCGACACATTAGCAGTTTCTCCCTATTCCCCTCCCCCTAGCCCCTGCTAGCCACTAGTCTGCCTTCTGTCTCCATGGTTTTACCTAGCATGGGCATTCTATATGAGTGGAATCATACAGTCTGTGGCTTTTGTGTCTAGCTTCTTTCATTTAGTATAATGTTTTCAAGGTTCATCCATGTCATAGCATGTATCAGTACTTTATCCCTTTATAAAAACCAAGAAAAAAAAAAAAAAAACTCAACTGCCATCAAGTTGGATCCGATTCATAGTGACCCCTCCTTGGGTTTCCAAGGCAATATCACTACGGAAGTAGAACCGCCAGCCTTCTGGTTAGCAGTCAAATGCCTTAGTCACTACACCACCAGAGCTCTGTTGTATGTATAGGCCACGTTTTGTTTTTCCATTCCTCTGTTGATAGACATTTGGGTTGTTTCTACCTTTTGTCTATTGTAAATATTGCTGCCATGAACATTGGTGTTCAAGAATTTGTTTGAATGCTTGTTTTCATTTCTTTTGGGCATATGCTTAGAAGTGGGATTGTTGGGTCATATGGTAATTCTGTGTTTAACTTTTAGAGGAATTGCCCCTGTCTGGCCTGGCACAGAGTAGTAATTACAACAGTAATTATTATTATATGACACTTGTAAATACCAGATACTTTTCTTAAGTATTTTACTTACATTAGCACGTTTCATCCATATAACCCCATGAGGTAAATATTATTTCCATTTTACAAAGGGAGACTGAGGCTTAATGCATTTTAACTAATTGACACAATTATATGACAGGGAGCTCTGGTGGTGTAGTGGATAAGGCATTTTGGCTGCTACCCAGAAGGTCAGCAGTTCAAAGCCACCAGCTGCTCTGTGGAAGGAAGATGGGGTGATCTACTTCTGTAAAGATTTACAGCCTTGGAAACCCAATGGGGGTTGCTATGAATCAGAATCAACTCAGTGGTTGAGTTGTGAGTGATATGACAGTTGTTCTGACAGGCAGAGATAAGGTCACAGGGAGGCTGCTTTCTCGCTGTTAGAAGTTTGCACCCCTAGAAGGAGCTACTTCTATCAGTAGTGTGTCCTTTGTCCCTGGAAGTGTGTAAGCTGGGGCTCATTTCTGGGCTTGGGGAAGAGTTGGGCAATATAATCCCTGAGGCCATCTTAGCTCTCTCTGTTGGGACGCATACGAATTGAAGTAGTCCCTGGCTACCAGCAACTTGGGTCAGAAGGAGGCGAAATCATGGAGGTTTGAAGAGAACTCTTGTTCCTAGTGGGCTCTGGCTTTGGACCAGCCTGCATCTGGGCCTAAGTAAGGCCCTGGCCCTGCTTCTCCTAATCCTGGGCCTGCTGCCTGGTTATTTCTGACTCTTATTTCTCCATTTTATAGCCAGAGGAGGCCCAGAAGACTGAGGAGCAGGCCCTAGGACTGTCTGAGGACCAGCCAGTGGCTGTGGTACAACAAGTGCCTGGGGCACACCCTGTGCCGGTATTTGCGTACTCCATCAAAGACACCTACTACGGAGAGGTAAGCTTCTGTCCAGCCTCTACCCATCCACCTGCCCTCCCAAGGGCCTAGTCCAGGATTCACATTGGTCCTAGGTGTGGCTACAGCTGTAGGCCACAGGGACCAGTTCATGGGAAGCCATGACAACTCTGGGAACAGCATCTAGGCAGTCCTTCTCTCTGCTCTAAGCCTTGGCTGGGGAGTCCTTAAAATGATGGGTTTCATTACACACTCATTGTAAAAACAGTATCATGACAACCTTAAAGAAGCTTGAATTGTGCCTCTTCACACAATATTATATTTTCCCATCTACTGTTTTTATTTTTATCAAATTAACTCATTTGAGCAAGTTCAAGTTTATGAAAGTGATTTTAAATCTCATGTGACGTTACTGCCTCTTTCTCCCCCTGCCCCCATGTCCCATCCCTTATATTCCCTAGGCCTTATATCCCAGGGGAGAGCTCTGGTGGCATAGTACCTAAAGCAATTAACTGCTAACCAGAAGGCTGGCAGTTCAAACCCAGCAGCCATTTCTCAGAAGGAAGATTGGGCAATCTACTTCCATAGAGATACTGCCTCAGAAACCCAAGGAGGGGTTGCTATGAGTCAGGATCGACTCGAAGGCAGTGAGTTTGGTTTGGCTTGTTATATCCCAGGGATAGAATTGCTGAATGTGCTATCCCATTAAAATAGGTGCAGTTTCACCATCAGAGGGAGGTCCCACTTGAGAGCAGGGTTTTATAAAAGCTTTGGGTTCCTAGGTTCCACCAGGCAGTAAGGGGTACAGCTAGGATGAGAATCCAAGCCTTCATCAGCTCATCAGTGAGGAAGTGCTCATTAAGTACCTACTGTATGTTTTCCCCTCCCTTGCACTTGGCTGCACTGTCAGGAATTGCCCCTCTAAGTATGAGTTGGGGAGCTGGGATCCATAGGACAGTCAGAAGCCAGCAGAGGTTGGTGGTCAGCAGGCAGGACCAGGGTGCAGGGCAGTGTGGGAGAGCTTTCTCTCTGAAGAGAGGTGTAGTCTGACCAGGCAGGAAGCAGAGAGGGGCATGGTGGGTAGAGGGAGAGCAGGAACACAGGAGTGGCTATAGCCCCTGCTGCCCAGGTCAGGGTCTTGGCCCCCCCAAATCTTACCCTACCCTCTGCATGAGCCCAGTACCCCTGGAGGCACCTGACACAGCCCTGTGACTGCCCTATTGCACAGGACATCTCCAGCCCACCCACACCCCAGAAGAGGAAGTCCTGCCAGACTGACAGCCCCAGGAAAATCATCAAGATCGAGTCTGAGGAGAAGTCCAAGGAGGCAAGGTTGGCCCAGAGCTCCCCTGATCAGCCCAGGCCCAGCACCTCCAAGGTAGTCTCACCACCCCACCTGGATGGGTCCCCCAGTCCCAAGACCCCCGTCGCTGGAAATGAGATCTACCTGCCTAACAACGACCCTACGACCGACGAGCCTGCGGAGGCAGGTAGGGAGACAGGGATAGCAACAAAGCCTAAGGCCTGCAAACTGTACTCCGGGGGCTATGTAGATCCCTTCTTCATTATGTCCTTGTTTGAGGAATTTCTTTAAGAAAGATCAGCACAAGGCTGGTACCTGTGAGGTGGAGGTTAAAGATGTCCCACCTGTCCAGCTTTTCCAGACTGCTATACCACTCCATCATCTCTAACGTCAACTCCTCCTCCTCCCCTCAACACCCTCCCTCTTGTGTTAGGGTTCTCTATTTCACTGTAAGTCTCACAGAACTCACAAACTGCCGAGGAAATGGCTCACACAGTGGTGGAAGCTGGCAGGTCCCAAATCTGTGGGTCAGGCGTTGGTCTGGAGGATTCTCCTCACTCATGTAACCACATGATGAACCCAGATCGGGTCAGACAACTGGCTACTGTTTCAAGTCCCAAGAACAAGGAGTGAGATAATGATGAACGATATATAGGATTCAGAGCAAGAGAACAGACTTTGCCAGAACATCTATGTATATACCCTCAAGGAAATTAAGGGTGGTGACTTGAGTTACAGCTTCCAGCAAGGTGGGATTCAAGATACATCCCACCCTCAACAGGCATAGAGGCTGAGATTTATAATACATCACAAAATAGAGGACTATGGCTAGAAGGGCCATATAAAGCAATTCACTGCACTGCACTCCCCTACTCAGCGAGCCCCAAACCAGCCAGATTTCCCTGTGTACCCTGCTCTGAGCTGTTGCAGAACAGAGCAGGGAGAGCCCACCATTCACCTGTGGGTGAGAATCCATGAGGTTTACCACATGCTTTGCTGTGATCCAGACGTTGGGAGGGTGTGGGGCTAAACCCCAAAGTTCTATAGCTTCTTCCCCCAATAAACTCTTACAGTGAGTACCCAGACCCATGATCTGCACAGGGTAGGTCTCTGTAAGAATTTTTATTGGTGGTTGCCTTCGATAAAGACTTGGATGAAGTCTATACCCATCATTTCCCCAGATTCTTTCTGCAAAGGCCACTTCTGAAGGATTTCGTTTGTCTAGGGATATTTCTCATGCCTGCTGGGAGTCCCTGTGCAGGAGTTGAGGTCAACCTCTAGAATCCTGGGTCAAGAAAATTCTACTCCTGGTTCTGTTTCACCCAGGAGCCAGCTTTGTTCTTCATTCTGTGCCCCAGACTGAACCCTGACTCTGGTCACATGCTGATCCCTTACCTGTAGTCCTTTCCCACAAGTGCTATTGGTTATCAAAAAGTTTTGATTAACTAGATGAATCAACTTTGACTAGCTATTACATCTCATGGAACTGAGAACTGGTACAAACCAACGTGCATTGTTAGGCTTGGAAAAGATTCTAAACCAGGTGGTGGCTGGCAAGCCTCCTGTTTCAGAGCCAACTCTGAAGTTAGAGCCTAATTAAATATTAACAGCAAGAAGTGATGGACATCCATTTACAAATAACCCCTCTGCACACACAAGACAGATGCACCCTCACATGCACAATGGGGCATGCATCACCCATATAGTCAACTTGCCTACCCAGTGCACCCAGGTAGGGCCTAATGGCATCTCCCTGCTTGTTTCAGAGGAGCGCGTTGTGGTGATCAGCAGCTCAGAAGACTCAGATGCTGAAAACTCGGTGAGTGGCCCAGCAATTTGGCCCAGGACTCTTGGCTCCCCTCATTCCAGGTCCCAGGGGGCACAGGCTCAGGGTGACTCTCAGACTCGCCCTGCATCTGGGGAGTCTTTCAGCGAGGCAGCGAGTCCTGAGCTGTGCTGGGGACGGCCTCCACATGCCAGCTGCATGCCTGGACCACGCTAGCCCTCCCACCGCACCAGGGCAGGAGTCTTCTGTAGATGTACATACTCTTCTGCAATGCTGGTAGAATGTTTTCTTCCAGAGTTCTATCTCTTTTCCTTTGTCTGGAGCTTCTTTATGCATTTTCTGTCCATTAAATCCTCAGCAATGGCTGGGTAAGAATCCATTCCCTGGTTAACCCCAGCCAATGAGGGCCTGTGAAGGGGTGTGAGGTCACAGGGGCCATACCTAAAGGGACCAAATGAGCAAGTGTTGACTCCATGTAAGACACAGCTGCTCTAAAACCATCCCACAGAGGAACAAGTGGCCTTGCGAGTAGTGACCCTGCTGTCCCTGGAGTTTGTTAATGGAGGCTGGGCTGTTACTTGTCCAGGGGAAGTGGGGATCTGAACAGAGTGAAAGGTTGGACTGGGTGGCCCTGAGCTCCCTTCCAGCCCTCAGTCTGAGGTTCTGTATTGGAAAGCATGTGGAGCCCATGGAGACAGCTGCACCACCCTCCTCGACAGCCCATCTCCTGCTGAGAGCGCAAGGAGTACCTCACCCCTGCCAGGCCTCCAGTCTGCCCCACGACATGTGCTGTCCCCCAGCCTGGCCTGCCTACCATCATACTGAGCAAGCCAACAGCCCTGAGACCCTGTCTCCCAGTCTACTCACCAGTCACCAGGAATGTGTCACCGCCGTCCACCGTGGGATCAGCTTCCCAAGACGCAGAACACCAAGAGGCAGCGGCCTTCACCAGATCTTCCACTTTCCCTCCAGAATGTTTCGTGCCCCCATGTGGACTCATACGGTCCCTGTGGCCCCAGCCAGCACTCCTGCCACCTCAGGGACTCCTAACCATTCTGTCCTGCCCCAGGAGGGTCCCACCCATCTCCAAAAGGCCGCCTGCCAGCCCCGCCAAGCTCGAGGAGCAGGGAGCCCCTGTGGCCGCTTGCACCGGGGTTCCCGAGTTGCCCAGTGGATCAACAACTTTTTTGCCCTTCCTCTCTCCTCAGTGACTTCCCACCTCGGTGCCTCTGCCAGGGGGACTGAGATGAGAGGGGAGGCACTCCAGCTTCTGCAGGCAGGAGTTCCTCTCCAGGATTCCGATAGCCCCCCTCGTGAATCCCCAAGTCTGATCTCTTTTGGAAGCCTCTCCAGTTGCATTCCCACCACCCCAACCCTCCAGAGAAGCCCTCAATAGCTCAAGCCCAGGCCCTCCTCAGGCAAGAGTCCTGAGGGCCTCTGTCTTTTTCTGCTGTTGCAGTCATCCGCTTGTAATCTGTGGCCAAAACACCCCTGTCCTGGTCCTCACGTCTCCTCCTCCAGGCCCAGCCATGCTTCCTAGAAGCCCTGCACACAGTAGACATTCAGTAAATCTCGGTCTATGAATGAGCAAAGCATTGAATGACTACAGTGACTTCTGGATGGGGAGACATGAGTCCCCTTGGGCCAAAAGAAGAAGGAAAGATTCAGATCCCTGTTTGTCACACCCCTGGGTCTCTCTCCTCAAGAAGGAAAGTTCTCTGGGCCTTTACATCCATCTTCCTGTGTTCTGAATCACTTGCCAATAGTGTAGCTTCCTACCACCTTGTTCCCTACCCCAAGGCTTTCTCCTGGGCCTCTGCCAGGTCTGAGTCCATGAGGGCAGGGACTGTGCCCAACCTAGGACCTGACATATATGGCTGCTCAATAAATATTTGTTGAACGATCACCCTTGCGAACCCTTATTCCATAGTTATCCCAGTCCATGATGGACTTATATCTTCCTTGCAGGCTGTTTTTATCTTTTCCTACCCTGAGACTTGGTTCTCCCCTGAGATCCTGTGTCTACTCTTCCTCCTACACCTGTGAGCACCTGAGGTGGGAGGTGGGGGTCAAGACCCTTTTTGCTACATGGACTGTTATGTCTCCACCATCAGATCAGATCCCCTGGGCCCATGAGGTTCTATCCACTGGGTGTACCCCATTCTAGCCAGTCATCTCAGTGCTTCTTCCTGGATAAGTTCTACACTCACCACTCCTTGACCTCTCACGGATCTTCACCCCTCTGTACTTCAGATGCCAACTCTACGGCCACCTCAGTGGGCATCACCATCACTGAGAACGGTCCATCTCTACAATGTCCCCCTCAGACTTCCAGCTGTTCACAGCCTCCTGTTCTTACACTCTCCCCTCAGTTACCTGCAGGACCTCGGCTCCTGGACCTTGAATACCTCTCTGCTTTCTCTTCTCAGCTCCTCCTGTCTTTTCCTCTCTCCAGTCAGCATAGCCACCATTTCAGCCCATCTTTCATCAGGTCTCACCTCTTTTTCCCTATTTGACTGCCAACCAGATAGCTGGAGGTTCAAACCCACCAGCCACTCCTTGGAAGGAAGATTGGGCAATCTATTTCCATAGCGATACCGTCTGGGAAACCCAAGGAGGGGTTGCTGTGAGTCTGATCCAACTCCATGGCATTGTGTCCCATTGCGTTGCCCTCCTGATCATCCTGCCTTCTCTCTGCTGCCACCTGGAGGCTGGACTCTGCCTTTAGGAAAAGAGAAATGATTGCCTCTAACCTGTTAACAGGAGCTCTGGTAGCGTAGTGCCTAAGGCCCTTGACTGCTATCCAAAAGGCTTGCGGTTCAAACCCCCCAGCCACTCCTCGGAGGGAAGGTCGGGCAATCTACTTCCGTAGTGATACTGCCTTGAAAACCCAAGGAGGGGTCGCTATGAGTTGGGTCTGACTTGATGGCACATAACAACAACCTGTTAACACCCTTGGCTCTGTGAACAGTCTCTCCTACCTCAGCACGCTCTCCTGCTCTGTAGCAGCTCCTCCACACTCCACTTGTCTTGCTCTGGTCCCTCATTCTGACCCTCATGTAGGCAGGTGACTGCACCTCCTGCTTCAGATGTAAAACAGGAGCCCTTGGAAGGGATGGGAGCAAGCTGTTAGTGTCCTGCAACCTAGTTACAGATTGGGCTGTGCTTCCACATCCTCACCCTGTCCCTTCTGTTAGAATGGAGGAGGCATCTACCTTCATCTAGGACTTTCTCCACCTCTGTCTTGTTCCCCGCCTACTTATTCCCCACCCCTCTCCTCATCTCATCCTCATCTCTCCTGCATCTTCAAATGCTCCTACTTCCTTCTGAACTGCAACTAAACATCCTGCACTCATCCTCACCCTCATTCCCATTTTTGAAAAATGCCACCCCACCTCCCTCTTCAGTGAATAAGCCCCCTTCCTCTCCTCACCTTGTTTTTAACTTCAGCTGCCTCCATTCCCTCCTCATTTCTTCTTTTACTTCGTAGCATGCTCCTTCCCCACCATCCAGTGGAACTCCACTCATGTGCACCACTGACCTCCACCCATTAAGTCCTGTGGCCACATTTAGTCCTTACTAGTCTTGGCCAGCATTGGACACTTGGCCTGTGTGTCCTTGAAAGACTGCTTCTCTGGGGTTCAGAGGTGCCCTGCTTTCCTTTGCGGTATGCTCCTGCAGCTCTGGACCCTCTTCAGTCTCCTTGATGGTCTCTTCTCTGTCCTCTTAAATGTGGTGGTCTGCAGGCTCTGGTTCTGGGCCCCCCTTTTTGGTCTGTACTCTCCAGTTGCCTTCTGACATCTCTCCTTGATCACCCTGCAAATAGAAGCATACCTCGTTTTATTGCACTTCGCAGATATTTTGTTGTTTTACATATTAAAGGTTTGTGGCAACCCTGCATTAAATAGTCTGTCAGCACCATTTTTCTAACAGCATGTGCTCACTCCATGTCTCTCTGTCTCATTTTGATAATTCTCACAGTATTTCATATTTTTTCATAATGCTGTTACACACTTAGTAGACTACAGTGTAGAGTAAACATATATGCACTGGGAAACCAAGAAATTCCTGTGACTCGCTTTATTGCGATACCACTTCATTGCGGTGGTCTGGAACCAAACTTGCAATACCTCTGAGGTATGCCTGTACTCAAATTCTGCCAGTTACTCACGCGAGACTCCACAGTCACCCAGTCTGCCTCCCTTTTATTATCTCTCACATCCAGTCAATTATGGGGTCTTACCTTTCTTTGCATGTGCTGCATTCCTCTGAAATGTGGGCCCTTCTTCCTACTCCATAGTCTTGATCATTTTTAAATTACTGCTGGCCCTGAGTGGAGGTAGAAACCAGGGAAAGAGATGAGAAAAAGGATTGGAATACAATAGTCACTCCAGGCAGCATGGAGGGTCAAGTGGAGGAATTGAGACCAGCAGTATTTGGGGTGAGTCGGGAGTAGGGAAATGGCCAGCCTAGTCCTCAGCTGTCAACAAGGACTCAGTAAGTGAGGCCTGAAGTTAATCAAGGTGTGTAAGCACGTTCTGGGTTATGAAGAATTAAGCATTTGGAAGCAGTTGCTCACTTTTGGAGTGCAGGCCTGGAGGTGTGGAGAGAGCCAGAGGCCAGAAGACTGTTACCTTTGGCTGTCCAAAAAGGAGACCCCAGGTTACCTTTGTGTATTCATTCTTTAGATGCACATTTTGAAATTTAGCCATTGCTGGAATCCCAAATGTTATTTTAAAAAAGAAACATTTTGAAGCTAACAAATTATGTCCCTGGAGTTTACTCTTGGCTACTAACCCAAAGGGTGGTGGTTCGAGTCTACCCAGTGGCGCCTCGGGAGACAGGCCTGACAGTCTGCTTTCATGAAGATGACAGCCAAGAAGACCCTAGGGAGCATTTCTACTCATGGAGTTGCCATGAGTTGGAATTGACTTTGAAGGCAAAGGATTGGTTTGGTTGTTGTTCTCACGTACTCCTTGTGGTCCTTCTGTGTCCCTCTCCAGAGCCCTGGGGCCCTTAGAGCCCCTGCAGCA